AGGGAGCATTTCATTCTATTGTATACATAGGGTCACTGTGGGTAAGAACCAACTTGATGGCACCTAACAAAAACAAGGCCACATTTTAAAAAAAAAAAAAAAAAAAAAGAACAAATTTAGCTGCATAAAAATAAATTTCTGTGATGTAAAACATGTCATCAATATAAAGTCAAAATAAAACAAACTTGAAAAAATCATCTAGGATATGTACTCACCGCCATCGAGTCAAGTGAGACAGCAACCCCTCCTGGGTTTCTGAGGCAGTATCTCTATGGAAGTAGAATGCCCAATCTTCCTTCCGAGGAGTGGCTGGTAGGTTTGAACAGCTAACCTTCGGGTTAGCAGTCAAATGCCTTAGGTACTACACCACCAGAGTTCCCAGGATATGTATGTTGTTGTTGTTATGATGCACCATTGAGTCCGACCCAACTTACAGTGGCCCCTCCTTCGGTTTCCGAGGCACTATCACTACAGAAGTACCTACTACCATCAAATCAATTCAAAATAATAGCAACTCTCATTGGGTTTCCAAGTCTGTAAATCTTTATGGAAATAGATTGCCTCATCTTCCTCTCACAGAGCAGCTGGTGGGTTTGAACTGCCGAGGTTCTGGTTAGCATTCAAATGCCTTACCCACTGTCCCACCAGAGCTGCTAGGCTATGTCTAATAAGAACTAATTTCCTACATATATAAAGAACCCTTACATATTGACAATAAAAGGACAAGCAATCCAATAGCAAAGTGGGAAAGGAAATGATTAGATAACTCTCAGAAAAAAAAAAAATACAAGGAATCCTAAAAATGTTAAAAAGTGTTTAACCACACTTCAAATAAGAGAAATATAAATTAAAACTGTAACAAAATAAAAATATGTACCTATCAGTTCAACAATGATCCAAAAGTAGAAGACCCTCTATTGACAAACTGTAATCAGATTTACACTCTCAAATACCTATCATACATTGTCATTACAAGTATAAATGTATATAATCTCTATGGATACTTGTAATACTACCAAAATTGCAGCAAGTTGGCTGCAAAGGACCTCTTTCAAGTGCTGAGGAGCAAAGATGTCTCCTTGAGGACTAAGATGCGCCTGACACAAGCAATGATATTTTCAGTTACCTCATATGCATGTGAGAGCTGGACAATAAATAAGGAAGACCAAAGAATTGATGCTTTTGAGATGTGGTGCTGGCAAAGAATGCTGAAAGTACCATGGACTGCTGAAAGTACTAGTAAATCTGTCCTGGAAGAAATGCTGCTGGAATGTTCCTTGGAAGCGAGAATGGCTAGACTTCGTCTCACCTACTTTGGTCATGTTGTCAGAAGGGATCATTTCCTGGAGAAGGATGTCATGTTTGGTAAGATGGAGGGTCAATGAAAGAGGGGAAGGCCCGCAATGAGATGGACTGACACAGTGGCTGTGGCAATGGGCTCAAGTATAGCAGGGATCACAGAGCTGGCACGGGACTGGGCAGTGTTTCATTCTGCTGTGCATAGGGTCACTATGAGTCAGAGACAACTCAACGGCACCTAACATAACACATAACATAAAACAAAAATTGAAAATATATTTACTGTTTAACCCAGCAATTCTTTTTCTAGGAATTTATCATATTCATTTACTTGTACATGAGAGAAGTGATATGTACATAAAGATAATCACTGCAACACTGTTTGTGAGAACAGAACATCCATGAATAGGGAAATGATATATAAATTACAGTACATCCACAAAATGAAACAGTATGTAGGCATTAAAAAGAAAACTAGCCTCCATGATCAATTGCCTCCACTGCCATGAGACCTGAAGAACTGGATGGCACCTGGCTACCATTACTGAACATTTTGATCAAAGATTCTGCAGAAGAATCCTGATCAAAAGGGGGAAAATGTATAACTACAACTTCTCATGGACTGTAGACTTTTTGGAGTCATGGGGGCTGGATGAATTCCTGAAACTACTGCCCTGTGATAATCTTTAAACTTTAAACCAAAAATACCCTCTGAAGTCATCTTAAAACCAAATAATTGTTGTTGCTGGTAGTTGCCATTGAGTCATCTCTGACTCACAGGGACCCTATCTGTGCACAGCAGAATGAAACAATGAAACACTGGCTGGTCCTATGCCAGCCTCCTGACCTTTGCTATACCTGAGCCCACCACTGCAGCCACTGTGTCTAGCCATCTCGTTGAGGGCCTTCCCCTTCTTCGTTGACCCTCCACTTTACAAAGCATGATATCCTTCTCCAGGGAATGGTTCCTTCTGACAACAACCAAGTAATAGTTTAGCTTAACTAGTGAAAAAGTCTGCCTTGAGCATTATGCTTTTAAGAACTATCTACATGGGATCAAAGTGACAACAGCAACTTGAAAGATTAGATAGAAACCTCAGGGGGTAGTCAGTTTATATTAATGGGAGAGAAACAACTCAGAAAAGGAAGCTGAGAATGGTTATACAACTTAAAGAATGTAATCAATGTCACTGAATTGTACATGTAAAAACTGTTGAATTGGTGTATGTTTTGCTGTATGTATTCTCAACAACAAAATTTTAAAAACAGAAAAATAATAGCTCTAAATGATGTGGCTGTGTGAAATGATTTCCAAAACATAAGTGAAAAAAGCAAAACGCACAACAGTGTGCTTCCAAGATCTTAAAAAGAATACATATATATTGTCATATATGCATACAATATTTCTAGAAATTTCCATAAAAGTTTATGGGAGGATGCCTCTGGGGAGCAACACGGGTAATCAGGAAAAGTACATAAAGGAGACTGTATACAATTAGAACCATCTGAATTTTGTTTTGTACCATATGAATTTCTAGAAAATAACAGAGGGAAATATGCAAACAAGCAAAAAAAAAAAAAAAAAGCATTAAACACTGAATGGTTGTAAAATCTTTGTAGAAAGATTATTAGTATTCTAAATGGATGAGATAATACCAGAAGAAACATTCCTAATTTTGATTACATCTAAACATCCTATTCCAAAAAATAACAAAAGTTAAAACAGAAATAAAAAGAATAAAGAAGACTGAATTACTGCTTTTTAGGGATAGACTTATATTCCCCTCATAATATGTATTGGATCCTAAACTCTGTATCTGTGGATGCAATCTCATTTGGGAATAGAGTTTTCTTTGTTATGCTAATGACACCGTATCAGTGTACTGTGTGTCCTAATCACTTGTGAATTATAAAAAGAACAGATTAGAGATAGAAGGAAGCATAAACAGGGGAATACAGACTCCACATGGTGGTCACCAAGGAATGCTAGGCTACAGAAGTTGAAGAGACAAAGATCTGCCCCCAGAGCTGATGGAGAGAGAGCCTTCCCTTATAACTGGTACCCTGAATTTGGACTGCCAGTCTCCTGAATCATGAGAAAATAAATTTCTCTTCTTTAAAGCCATCCACTTGTAGTATTTCTGGTACAGCAGCACCAGGAAACTAAGACACTACTGCTGCTGTATAAAGAATCTACACAAGAATTTAAAAGGAAATAAAGTTAAACACAGTAAGATTAGAAGAAATTACTGAAAAGCATTTAAAAAAAACTAAGGTAAGTAAGTTTATGTCACTAAAATTTTCCATGAAATATGGTTATAAAAGTTCCTTTGATGATGGACAATCAGAGTTTTAGAAGGAGGAATATTAGCAGGTAAACGTTTTAGGTGAGAGAAACATCCATGTTTAAAGATAAAGAAGTGAATTATGACACCAAGAAAGTGACATATAGAAAGTATACAAAATATATACAAAGTATACACAGAAAAAAAAAAAAGAAAGCCAACAGCAAAAGACAGCAGAGAAGAAAGAGGGAAAAGACTGCCTTAAAAAAAGGGAGGACTGGAGAGAACAATCATGGGAGAAGCAAGGGCTGCTTATGCACAGGGAGATAGCTCAGGGTGCAGAAGAGTATGAAGGGATGGACACTGGGAGGAGGTAACTATGGGGAAGAAGTGGGAGG